TTTACCACCGGCACGTTTCCAACCTAGCGTCCCATATCCAGTCTAAGGGAACATAACTATTGCAAGGTTGCATGGTCTGTCGCGCATGACTGTAGTTCTGCCGGTATTTCTGGGTATGCACATGCTTTCAGGCGCGGATTTGCGGCTGTCGTTCGGAATCGCGAATGTCGTTGAATAGGCATATGCGGCTGTAAAACAGGCCTTAAACCTAACGACTCAGCTTTGATCCTACTATTTTTATGCCCTTTTTCTGCAGTCAGTTCAGTCTGCCCAGCTTTTTAAGTCAAGTTACGGTTCCTCTCCGGATTCGTTAAATAGCAATATTTCGGTAATGGGTAACACGCAAATGTACTATCGACGTGACAGCTTACACTGTACATTCATAACTATAATATCATAACACTAGATTTTAGAAAGCAAGTGTTTGTTTATTTTTTGACGGTTACTACATACCGTGTTCTTTGTACCTTCGTAATGCTATGAAATGCGGTTGAATGACAATTGCTATTTCTATAAATGTTTTTGTAATCTAAGAAGCGCAAAAGGAAATCCTCTAGTTATTCCCTCTTCCTCTCAGCCTCAGCAGGCTGTGCTCTCGCTCATCTGGCTTCGTGAAAGAGGGTTAAGCTGTTCTTTACAGTAACTAGTCACTTAGCGACCAATCTTTTTCCTGACATAGTCAAAAAATGCATTTTTCGTTGTTAAATCCAGTTCTGCAAGCTTAGCGGTGCTTTTTATTGATTATTGATCGTTCTTTTTAGATATTATTCCTATTATGGCTGTAATGATGTACGAGACTTTTGTAGCCAAGACCATGTGGAAACGTGCGTAACTGATCGCCGAGGGTATCCTTTCGCTCTTGTTTTCGTCAGCCTCTAGTGCAAGATTTCTTTTTCTAATGGGTTAACGCCTCATGTAAAAAATGAAGTTTGAAGGCAGTTCTTTCACTTGCCGAAATTCTGCAGATAAATCTTTTAGTCGGTTTCGTCTGCTTTCACAGCTTCAGGAGACTTTTCCTATTTTTCCGGCCTTCCGCCATTCGATTAGGCTTCAAGGACTAGATTCTAAGACGGCGCTCGGCGCTGCAATACAAAATATTCTATATATTTGTTAAACTTTCCATATATATTTAGAATAATTCGAAATCAGGTAAGTTAAATCGTGATTTTGATAGGTAAGATTTTGGCAAGTTAAATGATAATTTGGCAAGTTAAATCGTAGTCGGAGTCACCTCATGTCGTTTTATATTTTTACTCCCGACTGATTCAAAAGGTATGTTTCAAACGGTCAAAAGCGTAAAAGTAAAATGCTCCAACTTTTTGCCTTCTCCTGTCGCTTCTCCAGATTCGCTATTTTCCATTCAGTCCCGTACACTCTTTAAACAATAATTCAAATGGCTTAAAACTTTGATTCTGTTACTTAGTATCGGTCTGTCTGCTGCAGGTCGCTAAAAGTACTCGACAGAACCCTATTATACCCATAAAATCTATACCTTCCTGTATTTCATGCATTTTATGCAAGTGGTTTTAT